GGGATGGACAGGGGACACCGTCAGGCCCCGTTGTCATTGGAAAATGCCAATTCTCCCTTTTCACAGCAGCTCCCAGCAGGGATTGTCAGGGGGGTGCAGAGCACAGGGAGGCTCCTCTCACCCCCCACCTCAGCCTGCTACAGCTCCAGGGCACACCTGAGAGCTGGGAATTTATCCCAGTGTAAATCCCACCTGAGAGCTGGGAATTTATCCCAGGTGTAAATCCCACCTGAGAGTTGGGAATTTATCCCAGTGTAAATCCCACCTGAGAGTTGGGAATTTCTCCCAGGTGTAAATCCCACCTGAGAGCCCCAGGATTTCTCCCAGGTGTAAATCCCACCTGAGAGCCCCAGGATTTCTCCCAGGTGTAAATCCCACCCGAGAGCCCCAGGATTTCTCCCAGGTGTAAATCCCACCCGAGAGCCCCAGGATTTCTCCCAGGTGTAAATCCCACCCGAGAGCCCCAGGATTTCTCCCAGGTGTAAATCCCACCCGAGAGCCCCAGGATTTCTCCCAGGTGTAAATCCCACCCGAGAGCCCCAGGATTTCTCCCAGGTGTAAATCCCACCCGAGAGCCCCAGGATTTCTCCCAGGTGTAAATCCCACCCGAGAGCCCCAGGATTTCTCCCAGGTGTAAATCCCACCCGAGAGCCCCAGGATTTCTCCCAGGTGTAAATCCCACCCGAGAGCCCCAGGATTTCTCCCAGGTGTAAATCCCACCCGAGAGCCCCAGGATTTCTCCCAGGTGTAAATCCCACCCGAGAGCCCCAGGATTTCTCCCAGGTGTAAATCCCACCCGAGAGCCCCAGGATTTCTCCCAGGTGTAAATCCCACCCGAGAGCCCCAGGATTTCTCCCAGGTGTAAATCCCAGCCGTGCTCCCCCAGCTGAGGCCCCCCAGCCCCGTGGGGTCCCCGCACTCACCAGGAGCAGCTCCCCGTAGCCAAAGACGTGCTCGGTGTCCCCGGTGCCCTTTTTGGGTTTGTAGAGGAACAGGGCCACCCCCGCCACGATCAGCAGCACGCACAGGTACTTGGCTGGGGGGTACCTCTTCCGCAGCAGGGTCACCCCCAGCAGCATCACTGGGGACAGGGGAGGTCAAAAACTGCCCCCCAAACCCCCCCACAGGAGTTAACCCCCTACAAAGCCATCCCCAGATGGTGCCTGGCGAGAGGGAACAGCGCAAAGTGACCCCAAAGCCCTTCCTGGAACGAAAGCCAGCCCAGCCCCAGGCGGCTCTGACAGGTGAGGGCTGCTGGAGGCACAGGAATCCGCAGGAATCCACAGAAAAATGGGAATTCTCTTACCTGGAATGGGCTTACAGGACTTGCCCAGGACCTGGGAAGGGGAGAAGGGCGTTAACGATGCTCATCCCAAAACGAGCTCCCAAACCTCCCCCGGGCCCGCTGAGACTCAGCAGGGACAGTTCAGCACCTGCCTCCAAGGCAATTACCCCAATTCCCCCCTAATTAACGAACTCCCCTCTTCCAGGGGGTCTCTGTCCCTCCCCTGAGCGCTCTCAGCCCCTCCCTGGGCCCCAGCAGTGACCAGGACACCAAAGTGACCGCAGGGAAATGAGAGGGGGGTGGGAGTCACAGCCACTGTCCCCTGGGAGTCACAGCCACTGTCCCCTGGGAGCCACAGCCACTGTCCCCTGGGAGCCACAGCCACTGTCCCCTGGGAGTCACAGCCACTGTCCCCTGGGAGTCACACCCACTGTCCCCTGGGAGCCACAGCCACTATCCCCTGGGTGTCCCCTGGGAGCCACAGCCACTGTCCCCTGAGTGTCCCCCAGGTGTCCCCTGGGAGTCACAGCCACTGTCCCCATGGAATCACAGCCACTGTCCCCTGGGTGTCCTCCGGGTGTCCCCTGGGTGTCCCCCGGGTGTCACAGCCACTGTCCCCTGGGTGTCCCCCGGTTGTCACAGCCACTGTCCCCCCCTCGGTGTCCCCTCATTGTCCCCCGTGTGTCCCCATTCCCACCTGTGTGGGGTAGCTGACGAACTGCAGTGCGGAGTTGCTGGAGACCATGGCGCCCAGGTAGGAGAGGGAGCAGGCTCCGTACAGCCAGCCCCGAGTGCGGTCCGGCCGCGCCGCGTCCAGCAGGCGGATCACTGCGGGCACGGCACAGCACCGGGGCTCAGGGGCTGCCCCGGGCCCCCGGCACCGACCGACCGCGGCTCCCGGGGCTCCCGGGGCTGCCGGACTTACGGAGCTTGGCGAAGGCGGCGTTGATCACGCACTGGATGAACACGAGGGTCAGCGCGTACTTGAACTTCTCCTGCTTCGCGCCCTCCCCGTAGCGGCCCCGGGTGCTGCGGGACAGACACCGGTGACACCGGGAACAGAGCGGGACAGACACCGGTGACAGCACGCAGGGCACGGGGAAGGAGCGGCGCGCCCCGGCCGGGTCCGGCTGCCCGAGCCTGTCCCGGTCCCTCCTCCCCAGAGCCCCGGGTGTCCCCCCGGCCCCGCGTCCCTCGCCGCTGTCCCCGGCCCGTGTCCCCCGGCCCCGCCGTCCCTCACATGCTCTCCTGCAGGATGCCGTAGTAGAAGTAGCAGGCGAACACGCCGAGGAAGCAGACGGGCAGGCGGAGGCGCTCGGGCAGCCCCGGGGCCGCGCTCGCTGCCATGGTGGCGGCGGGGCCGCTCAGCGCGGGCGGCACCTCCAGCGCCACATCCCGCGGCGCCCCGGGCGGCCTCATCAGCCCCGCCGCGCCCGCCCCGCCCCGCGCCGCCCAACGCGCTGCCGGACCCGCCGCGGGGGGAAAGGCGGGTCAGGAGAGCCGGGAACGGCGCGGAACCGGGCGGGGCTCCGCGCCGCGATCTCTGAGCCCCCCGCGGGGCCGCGCCCGCCGCGGTTCGGCCGGGATGGGACCGGCGGAGCGCGGCGTGGCGCAGGCATTATTGTGGACACCCCAGCCCCGGGGGCCTTCGCGAGGCACGGCGCGCGCAGGAGCGCCACACGATGTGGAGAGCGGCGATTGGCTGCGCTGAGGGGGCGGGGCAGAAACACGGGCTCTGATTGGTGATCCGGGCCGAGAGGCTCCGCCCACTCCCGGCGCCGCCGAGCGGGGCCCTGCGGGCTCCTTCCGCCGGCCCGGGCCTCTCGATCCCGGTGGGGCGGAGCTACCGGGTCCTGGCCGGGACCGGTTCCGCTTTTCCCGAAGCCCCGGTTAGTCGCTCCCGCTGCTCCAGGCCGCGTATCCGGGAAGTTCCCGAGCTCCGCGGAGCAGCGAGTCAGGAAATTACTTTGGCCAGGCAGGGACGAACCCCCTCCATGGCGCTTTGTCCTTCACAGTTCCGCTCATCCCCACGGGAATTCCAACACGATTCACGATCCCCGGGCTGCCGTGCCCGCCACATCCCGCCTCCAGGGCGCTGCCCAACGGAGGAGCTGCCGGTGCTGCAATTCTCGGGGCTTCACACGGCGAGGGAGCTCTGGAAGCTCCTCCGCCGCCTGAGCCGGGCCCCGCCCGCACTCAGCATGGCGGGCTCGGTAACGGGCAGGCCCCGCTGGCCTCGTGCCCTTACAAACGATGGCGGCCGCCACCGCCGCCCCCGCCCGGAGCCCGAATCAAAGATGGCGGCGCGCGGCGTCACTGCCGGCGGGGCCTGCCCGGCTCCAAGATGGCGCGCGGTCACGTGACGGGGGGTGTGGGCCGCGTCCCGGCGGAAGCGTGAGGGACCGAGCAGGGAACAGCGGCTGGCGGCGGCGGGAGCGGGGCTGGCGCCGCCGGAGCACGCGTGCCGCAGGCCGGGGGACACGGCTGTCACCACGGAGTCCGCCAGCGCCAACACCGCGGCGGCCACCGCCGCCTCGCGGGCCGCGGGTGCCGGGGACCAGGCAACCTCGCTGCCCCCGCCCAGGATGCAGCGCAGGAAGGTGAGCACGGCCGGGAAACGGGGGAGGCGGCCGGCGGGGAGACCGGCGAGCTCGGGCCGCTGCTTTCTACCCTTCCGCAGCCCCTCCGCGCCCTCGCCCGGCTGCGAAACCGGGGGGAAAATAGCGGCCTTGAGCCCCGTGCGCCCGCCCCCTGCGCGCTGCGATTGGCCACGAGCACGAGCAGGCCGCGTGCTGATTGGCCGCTCCGCCTGTCACTCACAGCCCCCAACGGCCGCCGTTTCCCTTCCCCCGCGCCGGCGGCGGGGCCCGCCCCTCGCCGTTTCCGATTTGACGCGCGCTTGAAGAGCTGGCCGCTGATTGGGCACGTCTCGGTGCCGGGCTGGCCGCTGATTGGTTCCTGCTGCTGTCCATCGCCGCCCCCAACGGTCACCTCCCGGCGCGGGCCTTGTTTTTCCCTTCCCCCATCGCGCCGCGGCCCCCCCCCGTTTGGCGTTGCCGTGGGAGCAAGCCTCGCGCTGATTGGCTGCCGTTCGCTGTCAATCACGCGCGGCGGGGCCCGCCTTTTTCCTCCGCGAGCTGCCATTGGCAGATCTCTCTTTCCATCCCGCCCCCGCGCGCTGTGATTGGCTGGGGCCGGCGCGGCTCCGCTGGGTGCAAAACAAAGCGGCGCGGGGGCCGCGCTCCCGCCACCGGCGCGAGGCCGCCCCTCCCTCCCCTCATGGCGGCCGCGCCCCCCCCGCTCCCCTCACGGCCGCCGCCATCGCCGCCCCCTCACGGCCCTGCCCGCCCGGAGCTCCCGCAGCCGCCCCCCGGTACCCACCGGCACCTGCCGCCACCCCCAGACCCCCGGCGTCCCCTCACGGTGTTACGGTTGAACCGCACCTGGAAATTAAACACAAACCTGGTATGGCGGGGGGGAAACAAAAATAAAGGTTGTGTGTGCGAGTAACAACAGCTCAATAGTGAGAAATGAATTAAATACTGTGAAAACAATGAGTAACGACGATAAGAGAAAAAGAAAGGGCTAAAAAAGCCGATTGCTGACTCCATTCCAACATCCACATTGCTCCCCACACTTTGGGATAATTCCCGGTAATTCCTCCAGTTTATATCCTGGGAATGACAGTCTGTGCTGGGGAATAAACCTTTGGCCAGCTGGCATCGCCTGTCCAGGTTCCTTTTTGAAACTCCTGACTGAGGGAGCAGGAGACACAGAAAAGGAAAGAATCCCTTATTTTAGAGATTTTATTTGTTTATCCCTGACTTGGGATAAACCACACAGGTCACACTTCCAGCTGAAGCGGCCGGCAGGACGTGGAGAACACGGAATATTCGCTCCTTTTCCTGCGTTTTTTTATCAATAGAAGTGCAATATTTTTAATACAATTAAATTAAAATAAACATTTAAAGGCAAGCGCTGTGTGCTGTTGCAGAGGAACGCGGGCAGCAGCTCGGATGGAACAGAGGACTCGGATTTCTCCACGGATCCCGAGCACACGGACAGCTCCGAGAGCGACGGCACCTCCCGGAGATCCGCCCGCGTCACCCGCTCCTCCGCCAGGCTCAGCCAGAGCTCCCAGGGTGAGGGCTGGGCTCCTGCAACCGGGAAAAGGATCAGCCTTAAACTGGGGAAAGGATCATCCTTAAACTGGGGAAAGGATCAGCCTTAAACTGGGAAAAGGATCATCCTTAAACTGGGGAAAGGATCAGCCTTAAACTGGGAAAAGGCCCTTCCTTAAACTGGGGAAAGGCTCCTCTTTAAACTGGGAAAAGGCTCATCCTTAAACTGGGAAAAGGATCATCCTTAAACTGGGAAAAGGATCATCCTTAGACCAGGGAAAGGCCCTTCCTTAAACCAGAAAAAGGCTCATCCTTAAACTGGGAAAAGGCTCCTGTTTAAACTGGGAAAAGGCTCCTGTTTAAACTGGGAAAAGGCTCATCCTTAAACTGGGAAAAGGCTCCTGTTTAAACTGGGAAAAGGCTC